TGGACACAGTAATAGTAATGAGTATTTCTCTTTCTTGTATTGTTTGAGAATAGAGGAAAACTACATGAAATTGGCGCTTAAATATTTTCCTGGCACTGTGGGAAACAATAATATTGAAATAGAGAAACGAAAGAGGAAAGCGTATTTGAGTCGCGGCTCCCTCCTGCTCCCGCCTCTACCCTACTGCTTACTTAAACTGTAAACTTGATGGCCACTTGAGTTGTGAAGCGTTAAGTGGAAATCAATGGCGGGTCCAAGGTTTTCGAGGGCCAGGTTAAAAAAAATCGAGTGAAGCAATTGACCAAAAAAAAAAAAAACCGTCGAACCTCTGACTTCATTTTCGTTGTACGACTGACGATCGGCAAGCGGTACACTTGTTCGGCTTTGTTGTTGACCATGTTTTCTACTTCTCCTTCCCTCTTTTAACTGTTCGGTATTTTTTCTCGAGTTTCTAGGCGGTAGGTAAAAAATGCATCTGAGATTCTTTACGTTGTTGTTGCTGTTGCTGTTGCTGTTGTCGGCGGCTCTTGGAAATGTGTTTGTGCGCAACGGAAATGCATTTATTTGTCCACAACTTGGACAGCGTTTAATGAAGTGACCGCCTCTCGACACCACACCGAACCACTCCAACTCCAATACCAATACCAAAATTCATACCAATACTCCAACTGCAAGTCCAAGTCAGGGCGTTAATTGATGAATCTGGTTGGGCAGGTTCAATGACTACCCCTACACCTAAAACCCCGAGCCCTAACCCTACCTGTGCTCGCCATGTGCTATTTCTTGGAATTTTCACGGCATGATTTCCTTTTCTCAGTGTACCAAACGAAAAAACGAAAACAACAACAACAACTTTTCTAGTTATTTTCATGTTAAACACATCTATTTAAATTTTAATGATGTTTGTAATGATGGTGCTAAATATTTCCCACATTATTATCACCTATCAGCTATCGTCAGCCACGGCCAACAGCCAAAGTCATTCATTAAATATTTTTGGCTGTGCCGTCTTGCTCATCTCGTCTTGAATCGATCTGCTGTATATCTTCTAGAGTTGATGTGACTTACTTGACATTGAACTTAGCCTTCACACAGATTCTGAAACACTTCATGGCACGGCGATGCTTTGCTTGATACAAATTTGCCTAGTATTCCAATATTTCTTTGCAGACAATATTATTTCGTTAGACTTGAAGCGACGAATTGAATTTGTTCTTGTTTTTAAATGAAAAGTGGAAGCTGATAAATGTTTTTGAATAAGATAAACAAATTCTTAAAGCCAAAGGCCATTTGAATATGGTAATAGAATTTGTGTACATTGTCCTGAATAATTCCAATTTTGTAGAGCTGTACAATTGAAAAGTACATGAGAATTATATGAGGGCATGTTTCAATCGACCAATGCTTAGTGAAGATCTACGATTTAAGTATTCGGCATTAAGTTGCTGTGATATTATATATAATGCTCAAACAGCTACAAAAATAGAAATACAAATATAGATTTTGGAGATACATTAAATATTTGCTGAGCATACTTCCCTTTCGGGCAGCTCTGTGGAATTTTTGCAATTGCTTTTGTATATTTGCAGCTGTGATTGACCGTTGAGGCTCGACGAGCTGTTAAACATTCTTTATAAACCACAGCAAGCACGCATTTGAATAAGAGGAGAGGACTCAAAGACCTCCATTAGAAATCTGTTGAACACATAAGACAATTATCATTGTGGACATGGACCGAACCCTTGTCTATTATTTGATTAAGAAATTATCAGACAAGAACTTATTACAGCAGCTACGCTCTGGGGCGGAGGTGTTGATTGGGCAACGCCCTGGACACCGGACCAAATGTTGTTGTGGTTATTTCAGGGAGAATGGGGGTAGGTGGGAATAATAACGTTCTCAAATTTATGGGCGCCCATAATGAGCCATAAAATGTTTTTATGGCCAAGGGGCAAGTAGCCCTAATTTTACTATTGCTACCCTTTCGACTCGCGATCGAGGTAAATGCGACCTCAACATATCTCGCCTTTAGTCCGCAAATTAAATCATGTGATTTATTGCCGGGTTTCCTGATTTTCCCCGATGAAAAGCGCTGCAGTTGCGGTTTGATGCTTTGCGCGGATCAGATGAGTAGGATGGGAGAGGAACGTGCCGGTGTGTGGAGGGTCGTTGATTGAAATGTCAAGATTCATTAGGCACGAGTTTAATTGCGTCCCAGCACAGGAGCGGCTCAACAACAGATGCGGGTACTGAGTAAATACTCGAGATTGATTGATGTAGATAAAGGACAAATGTTTGCATATATGTATCTGACCAGGCATAAATTTATATATGTATATATTTTCATGCTTATATACATATATTCGGTCTTTTCTATATCCTGTAATTACATCAGCAACAATCGAATATGCATCTTCTTAGTACACACTACTCTTTTATAATATACGTCCTGTCATAGCTACCCATTATTATTATTATTGGCTGCTTTAAGTAATTCCTGCTCAACCGAGTCAGAATTTGTAAGCCGTGAACAGTTATTTCGGATGGGAGAATCCCGGCAAATTGTGTGTGCACAAGTGCACATCGGGCTTAACCCAGCTGCCAGCGGCTTAGTGTTGCATAGAACATCATAAAACCCGAACCGAGAGATATAGTTGGCCGTGTACATAAATTGTTATTCATGAAAATGCTGAGGCAGCTTGGGTACCCGGGCATGTGAGCTTCCGCCTGAAATACCACAGCTCATGCAAATGATTGAAATAGTCCGGGATGCATCCGCAGTGGGCGTGTGGATTGACAAAGGAATTTTTCGCACATTAGGCATAAATGCTGTGGCCTTTTCCCTTTGGCCTGCGACTTTTCTATGTACACAGATACAAATATCTATATTTTTTGTAAATACCAGGTGAAAATTTTCACGCGCAGCTTGCACCTGTTGTGTGGCATTTGTTGTGCTGCTTGAAAATGTGCAAAAACACGACGGCGACAGAACAATGGGCGGTACTTTAGAGTATATTTAAGGTCCTGCTGGCATAGCTCGCGCTGCGACCCTTCGAGCCGCTATCCCAGTTTTTGGAACAGCTGCGGGCAATCAGCCAAGCGGCCATTGGGTCATTCGCCCATTTAACGAAGGCATTCAGGCAGCCGGGCTGCAATTAGCCACGGCCGGACTACGAAAATTGACCTGCCCAGTGAAAGTTACGCATTTCGATTTATTTTTTCGTCCGTCCGTCCGTCTGTATGAGTGCGTCGATCTTAGAAGTTACAAAAGCTAGACAGCTGAAATTTGGCATGCATACTCGTGTATACCATACGCAGACGACTTTGCGATAACTTTTTTTTATCGAGAATAATAGAAAATTTGACTTTGTTTTTTCAGTCTCATTTGAACACTATTAGATCTGGAAATTTACCGTGTATATACATATGATGAATACAAACATTTTGTAATTTACAGATTTTGGATACCACGCCCCCTTCGCCACAAATTGTAAAATACTAGAGACTTGTGCTTTGGAATGTACATACATTGGAACATTATGATTACGTTCTGAAAGTTTCATTTAGATCGTACGTCTAGAAATTCAATTATTTAACAAGTCAATTCTCATAATATTGCCCACTGTGCAGCGCAGCCCAAGCACAGCCGCTACTTACTGCGCAGTTAGCAGGGCGCGACCGCGTGAGGTGGATGCATATGTATGTATGTGTGCGTGCATAAAAGAAGTGAAGAATGATAAAATATCACCTTGCAAGGTTCAGGGCATCTCCTAGTCGAGCAGTCTCGACTAGAGCCTTCTTACTTGTTTATTTTTATATTTCGCTCAACTCGAGAGTCCCATAAAGTTGGCAATTTAAGCGCCAAAAGAGAGCTCCAAAGCCTACCAAATTAATAAATTTGGCTTGAGATTTAGCGAATTGGGTCTTGCGTTTGTGGCAGTTTCAAATTAAAATTGCAGAGCATGGAAATGTTGTATTCTGTTCTCCATAGAGTCTAAAGATACTTTTGAGTGGGCTTTGAAAAATGCTTATATCTTGTATTGTAGATAAATAATAAATACCTCATTATTATTTCAATATCACTTTATTTGTCAGGCAATCAGTCAGTAAATCAATCAGGCAATAAATGTAATCCGTCAGTCGGCCAATTAATCACCAATCAGATCATAAGTGTGATCAATCAAAAAGTCTGGCATTAATAATTGACTTACTCAATCTAGCGATCAATCAGTCAATTTGTTAATAAGTACGTGAATCTCAGGTCAAACAGTTAGTCCGACATGAACTCATTCAATCACTCTGCAGGCCAGGAAGTTGTTAATCAATCATATTCCGATTTGTGTTCTGTTTGCTAAAACACTGACTATTAAGTATGCATGGCGCATCAATCCACGGCACAGTTGCACTTGTCGAACGGAATATGAAGGTTTTTCTAATTTATGTTGCCGATTTGACAGATAGATGTAACATAATTGATTGACAGTTTAAAAACGTCTGAGACCCAACAAATAAGTGAGAAACATATTGAACAATATGTTGACTTGATTGTAAATGTAATGTCAGGCTTTTGGTCAAGTGACTTGCTGGGTTCGGGAATGACTGGAGAAGAGATGAGATGCTTCATTGTCATGGAAATGAAAGCAACAACAATAATAATAACAAGTACTTAACATTGTTGATGAATGTCGTTGTCGAATGTTATTGTTAGTGAAAGGTGGTCGGAGAAAATGTTAACTTCAAAATGTGATGGCATTTCCTACAAGACAGTCGCGTTATAAACAAAATTGCTTGATGGAGAGCGAGTGAGAAAGAAAGAGACAGAGAGAGTAGGGGTGGGGTGAGGGATTGGGAGAGAGGACATAGAGAGAGAGAGAGAGAGATAGATATATAAGATCTGTGTAGTTTTATTTTGTTGTATGTAATGTTTGTATATATGGGATTCGAACCCTTTTAGCTTCAATAGGTGGGAAGTTGTAAATTGTAATTGATTTAGTACTTACGAATCTGTGAAATGTCTGTCACTGAGACTGTTCCTTCCGCAGCTAGGTGTATGGCTTTGTTGTGTGCACACTGTGACATTATTACGTAATCTTCTACTGTACATAATGCACCTGAAATCACCACCTGAATGGGACGGAGAGTGAGAAAGAGAGATGGCATTAGAAAGTGTTTGCTTTATCAGAGGCGCTCTTATCGCACATATCTTGCGTATCTCAAAAAGCCAATCAATAATTGTATCTAAAACAGATACAACAACCTAAATTGCATACTAGTGTTTACACCTTGTCAAAATGCGACTCACACACACCCGCACTCACACACAGACACGCTCCCTCACAAAATCACGCCTTTTTTCGACTTCCTCTGCGTTTCCCTCCCTCTTTGGGCGTAGCTCAGTAGTCGCCTGCTGGTCCATTTATCATGTTTGATTTGTTGTCTCTTTTGTTGTTATATAACATTCATTCATAATCGCGTTTTCGATTTGATGAATTTATTGGATTTTTTATACACAGCGTGGCGGCGCTTGTTGCTTTGATTATTGTGCCAGGTCAGGTAGTAAATTATGGGGCAAACTGGATCCTAGACTGTCAGAGGCAAACATGTTTTAAGGCTCATCTACAGCCACATGTAAATTGTTATCATAATATATTTGTGGATTGAAAAATGTGCGCAAATATTAGAATGAGTTAGAATGGATCAAATAATACATGTGTATTTCATAATTTGCATTTCACATACTTAAATAATAAATATTTACTCGATTTTCTCAATATTAAGCAAGTGTCCAATTGACATTTCTATTAAATATATATATAATTATATTAAATATATGTACATATATATATTTAAACTTCTCAACAATAATCAGCAGTTCTCGAGTCGATGCCAAAATTGTTTGCCTCGCTCTAAATATTTTGGTTTAGTTATCAATAGCATATAAATGAATTAAAAATTTCGATGTCCAATAGAACCTTCTATCTCCTAAGACTTTTTGCGCACCGCGGTTGAAATAATTGCTTAGCGCCACAAGAAACCCCTCAAAACGCCGACGACCACCCAAAGCGGACGCCTTCTTGGAGCCTTCCAAGCACATGTTAACCACTCCAGAGCGCACTTGACTTCAGTCAAGGCCTCTCGAGATTGGAAACGACTTCGCTTACAGCCTCATTCACAAGTAGCTTCCACAAATTAGCCAAGTTTCAAATAATCGAAATCTATTCGTCGCCCGCTTCTCGCTTCCCGTTTCGCTCATTGGCTTCCTCCTAAACAGAGACAACATGATATATAACTGAAACTGAAAACGAAACCTATCGAAATCTTATCGCGCTCTTTGTTATGTTTTGGGTGGTTAACGGTGCGGTAGAAGAGTACGGAGGTGGGGGAGGCCATCTTATTGCCTGAAAATTTACGCTTCGCATAACCTCGTTTTATACTTCACTCCATAGTGTGTTCCCAAGCATAGTTAACGCTACTTCAGCACGGTTCAAGATACCAGATGGGACGAATGGGTGAAAGAGTGTGGGTAGGGGCGGGTGGTTGGTAAAACGCATTATTTTGTAATTATCGACAGAGTTCTAATAAATAAATCGAGTGTGCGACGTACACCTAAAAATATAACAAAAGCTAAAGAAGGAACGTCGCAATGTTTTGATTGGGCTATAATATTTTTCCTTTTCTTCTTTGCTTGTTTTCGTTAGTAGGTTGATGAAATTATGAATGAAGATAAGGTATGACACAAGACTTGAATGGGTGTGTAGGTGGGTATGTGTGTTAGAGTGTGTTGTTATGTGTTTGTTGTTAAAGCAAGTGTTTGTGCTTGTCGTTGCCCAAGTTGTTTGAAGTGCTACCAATATTGAGGCCCATTAAGAGAAACATTTCAAAGGCCAGGCGGGTATACCTTGCATACCCTATAAAAGGCGTGGTCCAACGATTTTCAATCCGCATATGTCAACACCATACCAATTATATTTGCAACTACAAATCTTATTTTGTCGGTTATGTTTATTTGTAATTTACAGATTTTGGATACCACGCCCCCTTCGCCCCAAATTTGTAAAAAACCTATTTCATACATTTGAACATTATGATAACGTCCTGAAAGTTTCATTAAGATAGTACGTCTAGTAATTAAATTATTCAACAAATATATTCTCATAATATTGCCCACAGTGCAGCGCAGTCGCTGTTTACTTCGCAGTTAGCAGAGCGAGGGCTTATGCGTGTGGATGCATGTGAATGTATGTATGTGTGCATAAAAGAAGTGCAGAATGATTAGAATATCAGATTGGAGGGCTTAGGGTATCTCCTAGTCGAACAGACTCGACTAGAGCTTTCATATTAGTTGATTATTCTATCTGAAGAGAATAGTCTAGTCATAATAGCTTTTATTTGTTATTAAGACTTAGTAACAGTATTCTAGTCAATAATATGAATTTTCATCCGAATGTTTTTCTGGGTTGCTAAAGATCATACGCTCAATTTAGAAATTTGTAAGAAATGTGGAGTGGATCACAGTAACTTATTTCCAACTGTAGCTAATGGAGATTTTTATGCCAAATTCTTTAGATTCTAGACCAAAAAGTCATAACTCTTTTTATACCCTGAACCCATTGAAAATGGAAAATCAGGGTATAATGGTTTCATTACGATCGTACGTCTAGAAATTAAATTACTCCAAAAATAAGTTCTCAAAATATTGCAAACACTGCAGCGCAACCCAAGCGTAATCGCCTATATATGCGTGTGTGTGTGTGTGTG